AGTTTGGGGCGGGGCCGGGGGTCCCGGGGGTGCCGCCGCTGCCCCGGGCGGCTCCGGCAGCGCGGAGGGGCGGGGGGCGGCGAGCAGGCCTGCACGTGTCCGTGCCTGCCGAGCCGGGCACGCACGCACCGGGGGAGCACCGGGACGCACGCGACGCCCCGGCCATGCGGCGTGGGCAGAGGCACGGGGCAGCCGGCGGGTCCCCGGGCAGCGCCAGCACGGCTGTACCGGAGGCACGCAGAGGCTGCCGGGCTGAGGCACAGCGGGATGCGTGGGAAGGAAAGCGGGCAGCGCTTCCCCAGCGCGGGGAGCCCGGCGCACACAATGGATCCTGCGGACAGCGCGGGGCCGCTGCCAGCACCGAGCGGCCGGACCCGGCCCTGCCCCGCTGCCCCGAGCTCAGGAATCGCTCTCAGCCGGACCGTGCAGTCCGTGCGGGCAGGGGGGTCAAGTCCCAGCCTCAAGTCCCAGCCTCAGCCCAGCTGGAGCTCCCTGATAACCCCGAGGGGCTGGGCAGGCAGTCGCCGTTAAGCTGGGCAAAGAGGTCTCTGCAGGGCAGCGGCTTTGTCTGCAGCCCCACTCTGAGTCAGCCACGGAGCACTCACGGCCGGGGGTACTGGGCAGGAAAAGCCAAACAATGGGGCCACAGGCGCCAGCCCCCGCCACGCTCTCCACGGGGATCTGCAGCTCCTCCCGGAGCATTTCTTCCCCGCGTCCTGCCCAGCCTCATCCACTGGGCAGCCGGGCTCCCCCTGCGCTGGGGGATTTGCAAATGCGGCGCCTGTGGTGCAGAAATTCGGCGGGGTGTGGTGCCCCATGGCACCGGCAGGCTGAGGAGCTGGGCCTGATCCGGGCAGCCTCCAGCATCCAGCGCTGGGCAGGGAACGGGCCACAAAGAGCCAGCAGAGGCACAGGGCACATGGGCACGGCCGCGCAGATTTGGGGTGCACACAGCAGCCCCCCAGGAAAGGAAGGAGAGGCTGGCTGTGAACAAGCAGCCGGGGCTGCTGCTCCGTGCCGGCCGGGCCGGGTGACCTTGGAAGCCGTTTGCCAGGCCTGAATAAAGCGACAATAATCCTATTCACCTTTTAGCCTCATTTCCTAAGGCAATAAAGCACATGCCCTCGCCGCGTGCAGTCGCAGGTGTCACTCAAGCCCTGATCCCATTTGCACGACTCCAGCCGAGGGAAGTTTTGCTCATTACCCCTCTGACGAGCTTTGTGCAGCAGGGGCAGGAGCCCCAGGCAGGCTCTTTGCCAGGGCTGGTCCCTGCCCTGGCTCCGAGGCTGCTCACCCCATCCCAGCCGGGCGAGGCGCCGGCAGCGCCCCGGGCTGGGAGCTCCCCGC